TATATTTGAGCCTTTCATTGTTCTAGGATTTCGCCACTAACCACATTTTTCCTTCTTTTTTTCCATCAGGTGTGATACGATTTCTTTTTTACTCTATGCACAGGGTACTACTAAGAATTATGCTAAATTGCCACAAAATATACAGACATTTCAATCTATGACTAAATTATGGAAACTTATTAATAACTACAAACATTTCTAATTAAAATAGGGAAAATTTCAGGTATGTCTGTTAATATTTGATTGTATATAACCTAATACATTAAAAACTGAAATAATGGATAATTCAATAATGTGGTCTACCTCAAACAATCAGTGATTGATGGTGAAAGTCTATTTTCTCTGATTTGGAACTTCAAGATGGATATTGGTTTATATATGAAGTGATAGTTTTTATATTTTCCAGGACATAAATGACATTGATTTGATTTAATCATTAATGACCTAACTAATGACCAGAATAGAAATAGGAAGGAATCTCCTGCTATTTGTACTTAATAGACCTATTAGTATATTACATCTAACGGATAAATGTTACCTTGAACTTGCAAGAACAGGGTAGGCAGCGGTAGGATAGAGTTCCCTCTATTTCCTTTTCATCCCAAGGCAGTTTATCCATGGCATGCTGATTCTGCACTCGGGCTCCTCCAGCCCGGTGCACTCATGGACATCTGAACTGCTCAAACTGAGAAGGTTGCAAAAGCATTGCTGGCTCTGAGGCGGCTTTCGGTGGGAGTTCACGATAATCCACACGCTCCCAGTCCCCAGTTTGTTACTTTACATGCTGCTAATCCTGCGTAGTCCAGCTGGACTAACTCCCTCTCGGAAACAGCGCTGAAGAAACGGAGCCCAGGGAATAAGCTGTGATTCTGGATGGGGCTTAGCACAATGAGTGGGTTTGGGAAGAGGCCAGCCTGAGGCGCAGCAGTGGAGGGCATCCTTTGTCTGGCCACGGAAGGGGAAGGAATACTGCTCCCAAAGGGCCATGGGGATGGTGAAAGGCTGTGTTAGCCATCCCTGTGCCAGGTGTCACGGGATGGCAGAACACTGGATGTGGTGGCAGAAAGGCCTGCTGAGAAAACATCTCCATGTCTGGACGTCTGGAAGCATCAAGTCCCCCTGGCATCACTTCCAGTGGCCTCTCTGGAATAAGCAGCAAGTTGTCTGGATGAAACCTTAGATTTCTGTGGTCATCAGAAAGCAGAAAACTCTCACAAGGAACAGGAACAGACTCTAGAGCTCTTTCCTGATACAAAGCACGGTACAAAACAATGAGAAAACTGTCATGTCAAGTTGCTTGAATACGTGGACTGTCGATGGCTTCTTTCTGCTAAACAGGGTCCTAAATATCTGTGTGTATTGTACTAGCTGCTGTTTGCTGCACCAGTGCATACTAGCATGGAGCTGTGCCTGCTAGATCTTTGCTAGGACAGTGAAAGCACACTTATTTTTTTCTCTTAAACTGGAATCCGCTGTAGACTTCTGAAGCTAAAGGTTAAAATTTTTAGTCTAAACGGTCTCTTATTTTCCCTCTGAAATTCCGTTGCATGCTTCCAAATGAAATAAATCGAATTAATGGGTTAGTGTTACACCAAGACTGATTTATTGAAGTGATTTCAGAATAAAATGATACAAAGGAAACCGCAGCAGTAACATAATGACTCATAAAGAATGTGGTGATTTGATTTATCAGATGTGCAAGTGTTTGAATCCCTTTTTGCGCCCGATTCCTCATTCGATTCCAGCGCAATGACTCATATCAGTCCAAAGCAACTACGAAATATCTGGGATCTGCTGGGATCACACATTCATTTTTCACCCACGTACGCAGCAACAGCATCCCTGGGGAATTGGTGTGCACCACGTCAGCAGAGCACGGGAATTACTGTGTCAAATTTGGCTCTTTAGGTCAAGTCAGAGAGGATTCTTATCTCGGCGGAGTCTAGTTCATCTCCTTTTTGTATCAGCCAAAAGACAGTCATTACATACACAAAGCTCCAAAGCAATGGAGAATTAGATTCAATACAATTTCCTGTCTGTTTTAATGCAACAGGGTTTTGAAATAAAAAACCCCAAAGCCTAGTCATCCCTGTAAGTAGAGAAAAGCTACTTTTTCACTGACCTTTTTCTACCGTTCAATTTACTTTTTTCCTAAGGTGATTGCAGGCTTTTCAGGACAACTAAACTCTGTGTAAGTATAAAAGATCCCACTATAAGTTTATTTACAGCTTTGGTGGCTGTTATTTTTACATATATAATGCTGAATAATATGTCTTCTTCTTTTGGTATTTGATGCAAAATGTCAGATGCACAAGAGCCAAAGAGATGAACACCGAAAGAATAAGAAATAAAAATACAGACTTGGCCACGTTAGAATGATGCAAAATCTGGGAGAAATTGTGTTGTCACACCAAAAGTGTGAATACTTTCAGAACTTGTGAAAAGTTATATAAATAAACTAAAAGCTCTCTTTTATACTTTCTTGTGTAATCAGATTTTCCTCGGCAGGTCACTCTCTCTCGCCATAATCATAACAGTGCTGTAAGAGATTAACACTTGAAAAGTGTAAGGCATGAGCTCAGCACAATCTTGCTTCTCCTCAAATTCCAGGAATATTTATTTTGCATCGAGCTTTCTTAAACTGAAACACTTCTTGTGACCACCGAGGAAAAATAATCCCTAGGGCTGTCCAGTAACCAGTTGTTTTTTTTCCCTCAAGACAACTAATTACAAAATTAGTTTCTATTGTTCATCTTATTTAAAGAGCAGAGACTCTTTTTGCAGAGTACTGCGTTCTCAGACATGTTAAACATGGGAGGTTCTTCCTGAGCCTGGTGCTATGCCTCTGGAATCACTGGAAGACTCTCATATTTAAAAACCAGAAAAAAATACATTTTCCAGGAAGAGAATCTTGCTTAGTTATGTATTTTGTATGTTCTTTGCTCAATGTATTGCACAGAGAAAATACCATTCTGCCAAGACACACCAAGTGTGAGCAGAAACCAGACCAGAGTCTTAACCCCACGTGGGCAGGAAACACATGGAATAATCTGTCCTGAAAGGCACATTTGCAGTTTAAAATGCTTGACGCACATCAGGTGAGAGAGAGACGGTGAGTTTTTGTTGATAAAGTACTATTTTGCAATCTGCCCTCACTGTTAGTCAGCATCTGTCAGCATCAGTAAAGTCCAGTCTCGTTTTTGCCATGAATATGAAATTTCTCATGTATAACAAAATAATCTGACTCGATCTTCTGGAATTAAAAAATTAACTTGGAATTTTTTTTTTTAATTTTATGTGTGTTAAAAGCACAAACTGCTGATCTATATGTAAATAAATGCTACAAGATGAATGTAAACTGGGAAAGAATATACTATTTTTGCATGGTAGTAGGTTACTTAAAGACCTCTTGATGCCTTACAGAGAATTTGGAAAAGCATTTTATTTAGAGGCAATTCTATTGGCATACTTTTTGTATTTTAGCTCACTTTGGTTTTCTCTGGGGGGAAAAAAAATCAAAATTGGATCTTTGTTTCTTCTTGGAATTAACATTCTTCAGTATTTTGCACATGTGGTGGTTTCTACATCACCTTTTCTCCTGTGAAATGGGGAAGCTTTTCAGAGAAGAGATCTAGATGCTTGTAGTCTGGGAGGGAAAAAGGTTTAGATCCCTGGAATTGCTCCAAAATGAAATGTTTTCTGAGGCATCTGGAGCCCCTTTAAGCCCTTCATTTCAGCTTTTTGTTATGTATTTTAGCAAAGTAAAAACAGTGAACAAATGAGGTATTTTGGTGAGTGTTGCTTATTCTATTTTCAACTGAAAGTGAAGGGGGTTAAAATATAACGTATACATTTGTGTAAAAAAAAATCTTAACTGTAATTAAAGATTTTTCAGTTTTGGTATATTAGCATGTATATCAAAGAATCATCTATGGAAACTTTTGTAAAGAACTAACTTTTCACCTTTCTCTAAAGTGCTCATGAGATTTTCTTGTGGACTGACATACAATAAAAGCTCTTTTTTAAAAGCTGTTGCTCCTCCAGTGACACTCTGTCCTCACCATGGTTATGAAGTTGTTCAAAACGTGTGCCTGGACTAAACGTGTTGTAAAAATGAGAAATTATGTAAAATAAAATAACGACCAAAGGACTATTGGAACATGAGATTGATTGTAGCAATCTCCTATGAAAAAAAGAATTGTTGCAAAGCTCTCTGAAGATGCAGAAGTCTTTCTGTAATGGCTTCTTTTTTTTTTTTGATTTTAAATCAGTAATAACATAGCCAAATGTATATGCTTGTTTAATATGAATTGACAATTGGGAATGCATAGTATTTTTTCAGACTATGTGTCTAAACCAATAAAGTTTCAAAACATTTGGGCTCTATTCCGGTTTTTACGTGCACTTGCATCTCCTTTCGCTTGGAAATCCAGGGATGCCTGGAAGTGTCCAAGGCCGGGTTGGACGGGGCTTGGAGGCACCTGGGACAGTGGAAGGTTTGGAAGGGGGTGGAACTGGCTGGGCTTTACGGTCCCTTCCAAGCCAAACCGTTCTACGGTTTGTGAGTTTGCTTCATTACATGAAACATCTGAGCTACGAGATCCCTCACAGCTGGAACACGGCGCTGGTCGGTGAAAGGGGTATCACACACATGATTTATTTACTCCGTTTTCATACAGGATTTCCTTTACGCAGAGGGTGGCGAGGCCCTGGCACAGGTTGCCCAGAGCAGCTGTGGCTGCCCCAGCCCTGCAGTGTCCCCGGGCCAGGCGACTGGCTCTGGATCATCCTGCAGGGTCAAGAGGGGTCCCCGGCCAGGCCGGACGGCTCGATCATCTGGCAGGGTCAGAAGGGTCCCAGGCCAGGCCGACGGCTCTGGATCATCCTGGCGGCAGAAGGGTCCAAGGCCAGGGCTGGACGGGCTTTGACTCACCCGCGGCACGGCCGAGCCCGCCTAGGCCTGCCGGTCCGGCCTCAGGGCGGGCCGGGCCGCCCCGCGCATGCGGGCGGGGGGCGCGGGGCGGTGTCGGCTGAGGGGCCGCGGGGCAGGGCGGTTCGCTCCGGGGCAGCGCCGGTGTTTCCGCGGCCAAGAGGCCGCTTCTCCCGCCGGTCATGGAGCGGCAGCGCATCCCCGCGCCCCCCGCGCCGGGCAGGCGCCGCGGAAGAGGCCCGCGAGTCCCCGCTGCCGGGGGCGGCCGCGCTGCCGGGCCGGCGGGCCGGGCCGCGCCCAGCGTCGCCGCGAGCCTGTTCGGCAGAGCGGGGCCGCGCGGGGCCCGAGCCCGGCTGTGAGCGCTGCCCCGCCGGGCCGGGGCCTGGGGGGCGGCCCGGGGGCCGGGCGGCCCTGCGCTGTGCCCGGTGCCGCGTTTCCCGCGCGTCCCCTCGGGGTCGGCGGGGCCGGGGGTGTATCGGCGGCGGGCTGGTGAGGCTGGGAAGTGGTTTCTTGTTGTCCGTGTCCCTCACGGCTTGGGGAAAGCAGGCAGCTGTTCTGGGAGCAGGAGGGGTGTTTCCTCTGGTTTGGCTGCTAGTTAGTCATAAAACCACTTCTGTAAAGTGGCTTCCCGCCGTCTGATCGTAGAACGTCTCGAGCTGGGAGGGGCCCTGTAGAAAGGTCCAGACAAAAGCCTTGCTCCCCTTCGGGGGTGTACTTCAAAAACTGCTCGGAGTTACTGCTCAGGAGCTGCCTCCTTGAATGCAGTGTAGCAGTTACCAAGTTAAGAACTGTAGACCTTTAAGAAACAAAATGCAGTCTGAGGGGAAGGGATGGCATTCAAGGCTAAAGTAAAAGGGGAAGACCAGCATGGGATGTCTTGATCCCATGCTGGGCTTGGTAATTTAAAGGTGAGGCTTTCCTGTTATAACATTTGTTTGTGATAATAGGGTCAAAAAGGTATTATGGGGAGGGAAGGGGGAAATAGCTAAAGGTGCCCTATTAGAAATAATAATCTAAATCCTAATATTGAAATTATCATTACTGAACTAAATACTTATTTTTCTCTAGGCCCAAAGAAAAAGGTCAGTGGGAAAACCCTACCAAAAATTACAGAAAATCTTGAACTCATTGAGGAGAACCCTTCATGCAACCAAAGGTCTGTTAGAACTCATTCAAACACACCATTAACATTAGCTAAGCATTTTTATTGTTTTGCCTTGTGAGGTGGCTCTTGGAACTATGCAGCCTGAATTATCAGTGCACTGATGTTTGTCAGACTATTTATTGGTGTTCCATAAAGACATTTTATAGTTGTTGCCTTTCTCTAAAACGGTATAGCTCTGTGGCTGAACTTAGTTCTGTTCTTCAACTGCAGCAATCAAGTGAATGTCAGAGAAACAAGAGACTTGGAAAAAGAAGAAGAGGAATCAGAAGAAAGCAGTGTATCACTGAAGGTGAGAATGGTGTCTTGCTTTTTATCTACTCGTAATTGTCTGGAGGATAAACCAAAGAAATGTGACATGCTAAATTGTTTTTATAAGCAGGTAAAATTTCCTGTGAGTTATGTGTGTGTGCACACACGTTTTTCAGGCTGAACTTAGAATCTACTGCCTGCATGTATTAGTTTGTATTTAGAGAAATGGTTTAGGATTCTGAAAGTAAGAATTGGGACTCTAAAAAAAAATAATTCAAAAGACAGTGAAGTTGATGTCAGTATGCCTTCACTGGCATCTCATCCAGGAAAGATTGTAGCATCAAATGATGGGGTGTTCCTCATGAATTTTAGAACTATAAGTCACATTGCAGATTTGTTAATGGTGTAAGAAAAAAACGTGGCACAAATTACTGTGAATAGCAAGTTTAAGGGGTGAGGTACCAGACAATGGGTTTCTAAGCATCTGCTGGTATAGATGATATTTAATTGCATTTCTTTGTCTACATCCAGTTTTCTCAAGTTGTTTTTATTGGTATTTTAATTTTAGAAATCCTCAATGATCAGCTTTGAAAGTAAAGAAAGTTTACAAAATGCAGAAATGACTTCAAGTGAGTATAATGGCAATACATTATATTACTAAATATACTTTTATATCTATATTTTATATCTATATAAAACTAAATGTAAAATTAATTATGTACTTATAATTACCTTTCTATAAAAGCACTGGTCTTGTACTGTGCTGTTCTTGTGCTGGTTCTGACTGTGTGATAATTGGAAAGTGAAGGTTTTGAGACCACTGGACTCGTGGCCCTTATTGCAGCAGGAGGCTTTGGTTCACATGAACTGCTTGGAGGCAGCACAAACAGACCTACAGCACCTAAGACAGTCTTGAGCCCAGCCTGCTGGAAGCCACATGATCTTGGTTTTATCCTTGACAGAACTAGTTGTGGACATGAGTTCTTCAGTTTACTCAAACCTGCATTTTTAAAAGCTTGCGACTAAATAGTTTGTCCTTCTGAAAACAAACCTGTTGAAGAATTACCCTGTCAGAGGCTAAATTCTTCAGGTGTGCCTTGTGAGCCTTGGGCAAGGAAGGTGTCTTCTCTTAGCTTATGGTAGTGTAGATTTGGCTTCAGGATGCCCTTTCTTTGCTTCTTCAATTGCATTATGACTCAGTATAAAGTACTGACTTGACAATATTTGGCTCATCACAGGAATGAAACTTAAGTAAGGAAATCCTGATGGTTTCTGCAAGATGATACTTTTCTTTAGCCACCTATTTTGTCTCTTTCTTTAGGTACAGGAATGACTCTTCCCACAGGTGTTTCAACCTTTCTCATTCAGTGTTTAGATGCCAATTCAACTGCAGATTTTAACAATACTAGTGACAGCCTGCAGAGTTACTCATCCCCTGAAACATTCAGAGATGATGATTCAGGTGAGACTTTGGGGGTTTTTGAGCTTTATTTGATGTAGAAAATGTGGGGAGACTGTTGACAATAAAAAGACTGGTGGTCTCTCTGGGTGTGACTCACCAGATCACATCTTTGCTGCAAGCCAACCTGTCCTCCAGTCTGGAGTGAATCAGGTCCTGATGTAGTTTCCATCACACTTTAAATTTGAAGTATTCACAGTTGATACAAGCTGTTTGTTGGGGATGACCCACTGAAGTGCTTTGAGTCAAACTCCTTCCAAACTTTTCTGCAGCTGTTTGAGCCAAGACAATGCTTTCATTTAGTTCACATCCTCCAAATGTGATTGCTTTCAGTTTGTCACAAATTTAGTAATTGGATGAATTGCAGTATAAGAAGCCTGCACTTATATCTTTTATGTGCAGAAAGAAGTCATTTTTACTCTGTGGACCTTGGCAAGTACAAGAACTCTACTCTACTGGACTCCAGCAAAGCAGTGACCATTGATAAGATAGCACAGATCTCAAATCTTTCAGCAATATTAGGTAATTATTTTCTACAATTCTTCAGGATACATACATAAACAAATTTCATTTTGGTGCAAGAAACTGGTATAAAATATATAATGATCATTTTATGTAAGGCCTGTCTGCATAATGGGGAGCAGCTCCCTGCTAGTGCTCTGTGTTTGCTTCTAATATTGTGCTTTAGAAATTAGTTTGCACTAGAACATTGTCTGGTCTAAGCTATCTTAGCTTTTTCATTTAAAGTTTAGCTTTTATGTTGGTTTTTTTTTTTCTAGAACCTGTACCAAAGGATTTTCAAGACCAGTGCATTAGAAGGTAATCTGCACAGCAGACTCTTTGATGCACCTAAGTGTTCAGGTTTTTCTCTTTTGAGTGATGCTTTAAAGAAAGGCCAACACGAATAAGCCTCTGCTCCTGCAAACCCTTCTGGGGAGTTTCAGCTACCTGTGTCCTCACTAACTTTGACTTTGGTGCATTAAGTCAGGGAAGAGTTTGCCTTACAGACTTCTGGCTTGGCCTTGCAGCTCTAGGGAAGTTGATATAAGAGAACTCAGTGAAGGATTTTATGGAAGAGGAAGGTGACATTTATTTACAAAATCCCTAAATAAGTTGCTTTTATCCAATTGCACTAATTCTGCCAGATTTCCTTCAGTCACAGGCAGCAAAAGGGGTGTGCCCAGGTGCCTGGCCAGGCTTGCTGTGCAGTGCAGAGTATGAAGGGTACCTGTTGTTAAGTCCTTCTGAAGTCTCTGACATTCTGTGCTCACCCAGGAAAAAATCAGGTTTGGGGGCAGATCTTTTATGTTCTTAAGCAATTGCAAGTATCCTCAGGATAAGCTGTGACTTCATGATAAATTATCAAAGAACTTTAAGGTGTGATGAAGCAACTCTGTAACAATATTTTTAAAAATAAGGTTTATCCCTTTTCACTCAGCCTATATTTTCCTAGGATTTCTGTATTCGTAGGTTTTTTTAATGTTAACATTCATTCAGAATAGTTGTTCACTTTTTTTTCCTCTCCTAGAAAGAGACCATCAAATTGCAATTACAGTTCTTCAGCATTAGGCATTTCAGCTACTCTGTCAGGTAAAATATGACCAGCAGCAGTTGTACTATCTGTGAGGATAGGATATGCTACCCAAACTTAAGTGATGGCACAGTTTCTAAACCAGGTTTCTACTGGATCATTTGTCCTCCAGCACAGACTCTGTCTAGAAGGAAAAGTGCATATTGAAAAAGTCTTCCCTGTAAATAAGACTTGGTTCTAATTTATGTGTTAGGAGAAGAAAACAAAACCCACCCACCAACCAAAGTCTCAAACCCTGCATTTTTCCATTTAATCACCCATGATGCTCAATGAAAGTTGGCATTTCTTATTTAACTTACCTGGGAACAGAACTGTTCGTGTCATGCTCTTTGAACTTATACCAGCTTCACAAATACTAGTGAGTCCCTGATGGAGCTCAGTTCTGATCTGTGACTGATGCAGTTCTGTGGCCCAGGTACCAGATAGTTTTCCCCTGCTTAATTTGGAGGGTAATAGCAGCAGAAGTTGCCACTGGCAAAGACTGCTGTGATGATGAAGGTCTCTGCTCCCACAGTGTGTATGTCCAGCAGTAAATAGCCAAGTGAACATAAGATTAATAGGCAACCTTGTTTCCTTAAGGAATGGGAGAGGAGTAAAGCAGTCCTGATGGTGGGGAGAGGGAGATGAGGACTGTATTGAAGGGAGGAACTGTGTTTACATGGGTGGCTTTGGAATTATTCCTCTTTGAAAACCATCCTGTAAGACATGGGATGGAAGAGTAGCTGTGGTCTTTGTCTCAAAGTTAATTAATTTGTTGGAAATTTGTCACAGGAAAAAAGCTCTGTAAAATTACAGCTGCAAGAGAGAGAACTCCAGACCTAAAAAGTGGTATGCGCTGTGCTTCATCCTTAGGACCGGACAGCAAGGTGAAAGATCCTTAATAAATCAGCAAGGTTGTGACACAAATGACTTGCTATGGGTGGAAAACTCCACCTAGAGGAGTAGTAGTTCCTGCTACACCTGTGGAAGGGGTGCCTGCAGCCAGGGCAGAGAGTGAGGATGCAGTTGCCTCTCCCTCTCCATAGAGGAACAGTCAGGGATGCCCCCAAGCTCAGTGTTTTTCAGACTGGCTTTGCCAGTGGTACTGAGTCAGTGTGTAGAGCTTGACTGTGACAGAGGGACTGTCTTTTTTTTAGTGCTTACCAGGCTACAGAGATTCACTTTGTAATAAGAAATGTAATTGTTTCCCTCTTCAGCCTGACAAGCAAACTGCTAAACCCAAAAGGGTGAAGCGTAAGGGAACAGGAAACAATTCTGATCCAGCAGAAGAAAGTTCATCATCATTCAGGCAGCTTGGTGCCCCAGGAAACACTTCAGCCAAACCAGGGGGGTTGACAGCAGAAGTTGTGCCAACCAAACCAACAGATGCTGTGGTGGTGAGTATTCCCATTGTGTCCTGCTGATTAGCAGTAGCATGAAATGAGAAGTGAGAGTTTTGAATTGTGGCAAAAGTTACAATTAAATAGGAGAAGTGGCAGGAAATGCCACATCTGAAATGTCTGTGCTGCTGTAAACTAGTTCTTTGTCTTAATTTTGGAAAGCACAAGACCAAAAAAAAAAAAAGTGAATGACAGGAATTCACTTCTTAAATCTGAAGAAGAATTAGTAATTCTAAACAGAGTTCTTATGGTATTGTGTACTAATGGGATATTGAAGGAGTAATAATAAACAGCAAAGAATTTGAATCTGATACTGAGTTCTTCTCTGTTTTTATTTAGCAAATGACTTCCACTATGCTGATGATTGAGGAAAATAAAGCTCTAAAAAATCCTGGTAATGCTCAGCTTGCACAGCTAAAGGTGAGTGTCTGTCCAGTGCTTTTTTGTTTTAATGATCCAAACCAAAGAAATCATTCCTTGTGGCACAGTCCAGTTGTGGCTATATGCAAATTGCACAACAAACTATGATAAATTCTATTAGCTGGACAATTAGAAAACCCCCAAGCAACCCAACCTAGGAATCTGGTTTGTATCTTTACAACATCTTCTGATGTAAACCCAGCACTAGTAGCCTTACTTGCACAACCCCTTCAGTACAAATTTGATATTTAAATGGCAGTTTGAATTCTTTGGCAGTACAGGTAGTACAGTACTGCCACTTGTCTCTGCACACTTGAGTTAATGCATACTAGATGAACAAATAGAGAACATCAAGGTCTTGTTGCAGTCCTAAATAATTTTTTGAAGCAATAGAATATCTTTTGTATGAGCCAACAAGCATTATCCAATCTGAATTGTTGTCTGTTATTTAACTGGGTGGTTATTCCTGTATATTTTGTATTTTGATGGAGCTGTAGCTCAGCTTGTCACCAGTGTGCAAAGCCTCAACTGGGGAAAGCCTGTTCCTGAATACCACAGGTCCACGTGTAAATTCAGAAGAAATTGTTCCTGCATCTCTGAGCTCAGAAAAGGAAATTATTCCTCAAAGTCCAGAAGAAAAGAATATTTTTAAGGTTCTAATTTTATTGCACTTTTTAAATCCAGTTTTGGCATTCTGGTATGTAGTGTACTGTATATTTAAACCTTACAGTATTAAAACAGCTGAAGAGAATGTTCAAGCTCTGAAGCTTTCTCTCACCCTTTACAATAGCATATTAAATGTACACAAGTAGTCTTAAATATTTTCTAGTGGCATCCCTTGAAATCTGCATTTCACCTGTAATTTCCCTAGAAGAAAGCTAAAAGACTGTTTCTTCAAGGGGAATAGTTGTGTGAATGAAATGTCATTAATCTTTTCAGCCCCTGTGTGACAGACAAGAAATCTGCTCCATTGTTAGACTGTCACCACACCAGAGGCCTTCCAGGCTGCAGCAAGTTCCAGTTATCAGGAAAGGGTTCTCCCTTCCCAAAGGAGTGCCTGAAGGTGAGAGAATAAACACTTGGTTCGCTGTGCAGGTGGTAACTGGTTAGTTAAGTGTTTAAGAGTGGTTTTTTTTTTTTATAAAGTCTGAATATTTTGAAAAAATCACAAGGCTAAAAAGAGTAAAAGATGCAGAAAACTTCAAATTTCTGACTTAACAGTGTTCTTGTGCAACAGTACTTCACTGAAACTGCAATAACACTTTCTCTTCCAAGGATCTTTAGCACAGGAATTGATACAGTCATAGGCTGTATCATAATTAAGGTCAGAAGATGCTCTAGGTAACTCTGGGAATATCTGTGCCACTTCAAGTTACTCCTGAAGTAACTTGTTGCCCAGAGGAGCTGTGGCTGCCCCATCCCTGGAAGTGTCCAGGGCCAGGTTGGACAGGGCTTGGAGCAACCTGGGCTGGTGGAAGGTGTCCCTGCCATGGCAGAGGGTTGGAATGAGATGAACTTTAAGGTCCTTCCAACCCAAACCATTCTGTGGTTCTATGATTCTACAACTTTGAGGTTTCCCTGCTGGTGTGGAGATTCCCTAGAAAATTTACCTTCTTCTTTAATGAATTATTATCCTGTCTTTATTTCTAGGGTAAGTCTGACTTGAGCTTTCAGCCATTGGTGTGGTTTATGTCATGCTCAGTATTGCCCCCCATCCTCAAAGCAGTTCAAGTTATCAGTTATGTTTTTCTTTAAAAATCACCACTTTCCCTTAAGGTTTCTGTTCTTTTCTCCTGAAACCCTTAACACAGGGGAAGCTCCTTTCTTCACTTCCTAGATTTTTGTTAAACAGAAATGAGAACTGTGAACAAAACTGTCTCATCACTGCCACAGAGGTAAAACCCCCTCCCTTTCCCGTCTCCGGTGAAGTTTCTCGGTGTGCCACTGGATGGCACATGTCTTCCAAAGTTTAAAGTAGTTCTTCACAGTGTCTGCAGGTTTTCTGCAAGGTGTGTGTCATTTAATCCAATACAGAGATACTGCCTAGGTGTGACAGCTCTCAAAAATACTGAGCACACACAAATTTTCATTTGCAGTCTCTTAGCTCCAAATACTCTCCAACTTTATTACCTGCTGAGTGACATGCAGCATCTAGAATGCAGGGAAAGGCTTTTAAGTGTGTGTATGTGTTAATTAATGGCACTGATGCTTCTGTACAGATCAAAGAACTAGGGTGCTAGCTCATGTGTCCTAGGAAAGTTGTAATACAGAACACAGGTTGTACTTGGTAATCACAAATAGGCAAGTGGTGGTGTCAGAACAAAAGTTTGGGGTTGTTCCTGCTTTTCTGGAGGATCCTGGGATCAGGAATCAGACTGCTTGTGGTGGGGGTTTTATGCTGAATGTTTTATTCTCTGCACAAGGAGTCTTTCAGATGATGCTGGTTTTCATTAGGAATGTACAGGTACTCAAAACTATTGTTCTCTCCTCACTGGCAAATGACCTGCAAGATCCAGACTCCTCCAAACAAATGACAGCCTGGATATCTAGTGAACATCTCAACAGCTGGTCAGATCAATGAGCTTTCTCTTACACTTGAGAATGTGCCACTTTACTGATAGTTATTTATCACTTTTTTTTCCCCCAGATATTATTACAAGTACCAAAAATTGGATCTGCTGTGAACAGAGATGAGATTTCTGGGTCTCAGCAGGAGTCAACAGAAGAAATGACCATCTTGTTGCTGGAACAGAACTAACAAATGGCTGGTGTTTTTTTTCTTGTTTGCACATACGTTGTTTGAAATTTGGTATTATGTGTTCAGTAAGCTTGTAAGTACTTTACTCAAGTACTTAGCATTAAATTATTTTGTACAGCAACTAGATCCTATTCTGGGCATCATTCTGCAAGGACTTCATAAAGATGATTCTTCAATTTTGCTTAGATTTTTAGAAAGCACGACTCAAGAACAGCAGACCAGATTAATTATGGAGTTATATTTGGCTCTTGCTCTGCCAGGATTTCTAGTTTTCTCTAGTAGCATTAGCATTTAAAGATGTGACCTCTGTTTAAGTGTTAATACAGGTTATGGGGGTGGGTGTGAAAGCATTCATGTACTCTCAGGGACCCAGAAGTCAATAGTATGCTGCCATTAAACTCCCTGAATGCTTAGATCTGCAGAACTTTGGAGGTGCAGGACTGTGTGTTCTGCTGTAAATTGATTTTTTAACCATGAATATAGGTCATCATCACCCTACCATCACTGTGATCAGCATTGTCACCATTCTGGGCACATCCACTGCCCAGCCACTGGCACCTCTGAGTCCTTCCTGTTCCATCTCACCTGTTCTGTAGCATCCCATCTCTCAGTCACTGTTTCTTCTACTGCCTTCAGACTTAGAAGCAGCAGATGCCTTCCATGAATACAAGGTGGGAAAAACCCTTTTATAGCTGAATTGTGTGAAGAGCTGGATATTGGCATTCTGGATTTTCAGGTTACTGTTCACACTATGTCCACATAATTTCCACTTCAGCTTGTGGATTGTTAATTCTTAAATGTCATTCTTAGTGTGCCAAGTGCCTCAGAAAACACTCTCAAGAGCACAGTTTTTTCCAGCTGAATTCATTGCAGGTTAAAGTTATTTGGATCCCTACAGAGTTCTCACTACAACACCCTGACTCTTTTCTGGACAAAAAGGGAAGTTTTTTGATGTTTCAAAATGCCAGTATGGCTTTCAAAAGTCTGTTTCTCAGTGTTATCACTCTGGAAAATAGTTTTGTATTTCCAAAAAGAGCATGCCAAGAAAACATACAAAATCCACAACTTTAGTTTGACTACGTTTGAAAATAACCTGTGAAAGTTTGAACCCTGAGCCTTTCCCCATTGCTCTGGGGCAGAAGGAAGTGCAAATAAATGATGCTGGATTAGTCTATGAAGAAGTATTGTATAAACACACTATATAGCTTAAGGTTGAAAATTATGCCATTAAGCTATTTTTCTTTTTTTAAGCATTAGTAGAATGAGTCCTACCAATAACTCCTTGGAGTCTTCTCAGATATGCTTCTAGTTATCAATATCCTTGTTCTTGCAAATATTCAGTCACTAGTATTTATGCAAGAATCTAGAGCCCCTAAGAGATAGAGGTGAACTTCCTGAGGTAGTTTTAAGTAAAACTGAAAGCTACTTATGTAATAAGTTGTGATTATGATGATTGCTCAAGTAAAGGGTGGTCCTGAATAAAGATGTGTTCATTGTAAGGGTATTTTAGAAGTCCTAGGTAACACTTATTTTGCCCCAGACCATTTGGTAGTCTTATACAAGAGACAGACTAATACTGGCAAATTAATTGGAAAGTACAAGAGAAAGAAATATGATGTGTAACTGTAGCAACCTGAATATTGCTGCATTTTGCTTTTGTTTTTCTTGATGTGATGAGGCTGTATAGGAGGGCAGAAATAACAGGAACCACAATCTCTTGTCCTTCCCTTCAGTATGACAGTGCTGCTTCTTATTTTCATCTTTTGTCTGACTCTCAGAGAAAGTGTAATTAATTACCAGGCTAGCTCTGTGCCCCAGGGAAGGAAATTCATTTGGAGGCTGGAACAATCTCTACTCTTGTTCTGCTTTTCTCAAAGGAAAGGCATTTTCCCATAGTTTGGTTTTTAGCTGCAGAACTACTACATAAAATTTCATTCAGAGTGGAAACTGGCTCTTCCATATTGGTGGATAAAGGTTATGGGTCGTGGCCTGTTAATGGGTAGGACAGAGGAGGTTATTTGTGCAGTGATTCAGGAGAGGAATCTGCTCAGTGTCACCAGGGCTGCTCTGTCACGTCCCAGACATGATGAAGCCTTAATGGCTTGAATGGAATCGCTCCCAGCGAGTCAGTCCATGCAGGAACTCTGATAATCCTTTATCACCAGGAATTGTGCGTGGCAGATGCATGTTGAGTAAATGTATGGTACATAAATCTGTAAGAGGTTTTTCATTAACACTGTTCAGTTATTTTTGTTATCTGAAGTGCACTTCTAGGAGACTTTGACTTAAAGTGTTCAGAGATGATGGAAGATGTTTTGCTTCTTGCACTGGAGTGCGTGTACAGGCTGGTGGGGGGTAAAGACCTTGCATGCAAATGGTTCTGCTGTGGTTCATAATCTTCAGACACGGAAAGGAGAGGTTTGGGGCCCAAGTCAGCATGTACTGAATGGGCACAGAAGTTCGTGTTCTTTGTGTAGGTATGAAAATTTGCCTAGAGAGAGGTTTTTATGGGGAAGTGGATGATTAAATTTGTACCCATCCTTTTTCTCTCACTGTCCTTCCTCCCTTCCCTCAATTAAGGTCTGACAGTCAAGCCTATCAGAATCAACTGCTGTTAATTTAGGCATTTTGGAACAGGTTAATATTTACTCTTAAAGGGACTCTATCAGCTGGAATTGTAATGCACTCGAGATGAGCTAAATCTTCATTGCTCTCAGTTGTGAAATTACTGAAAGCTGAGTTACATGTCCTGGCCAAAATTTTATCAGTTTGTAGTGCTCCCTGAGGACTTCTTGTATTTGAGACTGTATTTACATGCCCACCTTGAAGCCAGGAGGGTTTTACCTGGTGAAGGGATGTAAAGGTTGGTCATGTACAAATCTGTGGCAGACAGGTGTGTCTTCCATACAGAACAAGGGGAAAGGGATGCATCTAAACATCAGTTCTCGTTTTCTGTTAGAATTATCTTCAACTTCAGGTAGATGAAAAACAAAATTCCTACAGATGGGTGACTGTGAAGAATTGTTGTGTAGATACGTTACACATGCACTAAATTTTGCCTTAAAAAGAATCTGCTTAATTTAATCTTACATCATAGGTTGTTGTAGTTTAATTCCATTTTGTAGGGAAAGCAGATGAGTCAGTCAGTTTTGTCAGTCCTTAATTAAACTCCCCAGCAGCGTTGTATCTGAACAGTGATACACTGAAGGAGACTGTTAACTGTTACCAGGATTTTTATTTCACTTCAGCATTTACTAATAAAGAGTTTTGCAAAAATCCTCAGATCCTCTTGATTTTATAAAACCTATCACACTTCTCCCCCCTTATAATTTGTTTTGGATTGATTTGCTGGGCTTTATGTGCTTAAACGCCGCTGTGTGGCTGGGTATTTTACCTGCGATGCGATGATGGCTTCCCCTGCCACCAAACACACACGTTCCACCTTCCCTGCGGGTTGTGAATCGAGCGCATCTGAGCTGTGCCATTGTGGGAGAAGCGCCGCGTGCCTGGGAGGGGAGGGGGCGGGAGAGGGGTTTTCTAGGTCTGGGGGAAGGGACATCGCCCCTCTCGGCACAGCCCTGCAGGGTGCGATGCCTCGCCCGTGACCTCCCCCGCCTTCCCGGGGCTCCCGTCCCGAACTTCCGTCCGGAGAAGGAACACACGGCAGGGCGCGTTGTCGCCGCCGCGGGGGAATCCCGCGGCGCTGGCCCGCGGGAACCCGCCGAGGGCAGCGGGGCGAGAGACCCCCGGAGGGACCCGGCCCAGCCCGGTGCCCGCGGGGCTCCTCCGCACGTGGGGCCGCCCCGCCGGGCCGACCGGGCCCGGCTGCGCCGCCTCGCTGCCCCCCGCCCCTGCTGGCAGCGGGGTTTGACTAATTTCTGTCATAGGCTGACTGTGACACGAATGGAGGCGGGGCGGCGGAACTAGAGCCGCGGGCGAGGGGACGAGCGCTGCGCGGAGCCCGGCGCTCGCGGCGGGGCGCAGCGGGGCGCCCAAGATGCCGCCACCTCTTCCAGAAGCTCTTCAACCCAGAGCGGGCTCATCTCCGGGCAGGGACGCGCGACGACTGTGTGTTCACGTGAGCGGGACGGGGCCGCGCTCCTGCCTGCCCGAATTGTGCGCCGAGTTTCCCTCGTCCGCTGTCGCCGGGGGGCGCGGGGCGGACGCCGTACCTGTCTGCCCTGCCCGGCTGGGGGGCTGCCTGCTGGCCTGCCGGCTCCTGCCAGGGGCCGCTGACGCGGTGCCCGCTTCCCACGGCCCTCCGGACCGCCGGCGCCACGTGGGGCGCGCGGCCTCCTGCGTCCTCGTCCATCCTCCCTCCCTCTGCGGGGGTCCAGCGCCCGCGGGTGACCCCGGCCCGCGGTGCCCCCCTTCCCGGGGCCGTAGTGCGGGGCCCCGCCCGCGTGCCCTGGGGAGGGGCGGAACGGCGGGCAGGTCCCTGGGGGAGCAGGCCGCAGGAACGGGGAGAACGCCAAGTTTTGGCCGCAGAGGAAGAGCGGGGTTTCTGCTGGGATTTTTGTGTCGCTCTGGCAGCGCGCCGGGCCGGGCGGGCGGGGGGAGGGGGCCGGGACCCCGGGGCATCACCCGGCGCCGGGCGGGCTCGGGGGCTCGGGGTCGGGGCGGGGGGGGCCCGAGCTCGGGCTCTGCGCGGGGGCCTGATCTCGCCGGGGCCTCCCGGGCGGTTTGCTGGGAAACAGGTAGTTTTTGTGGCTGTGACATAAGTGCCGTCCCACGGGTGGATAACGACCACGCTCGAAAGCGATGCCGTGTCCGCGTCCCGGCCGGCGTGCAGGAGAGAGAGCCGGCACAGTCGTTTCAAAGTGCAGTTTGCCACCTGGATGCAAATGCCATCTGCTTCATTAGTAAGAGTTCTGCGCGTCTTGGAGCACTGCTGGCAGGGCGGTGCAGCTCCCCTCCCACCCGCCGCCTTGAAATTTGTACCTACAAATGATCGGCCCTTGGGTTGCCCTGTGAAGGGAGAGCTCTGACCGATGGCTTTCGTTTTCTGTGGTGAGACACCCCTTTTAGCTGCAGTGTTTAGGTAGTTTAGGTGGATAATAGTGTATCTGCAGTTATTGAAGCATCAGGATTTTCAAAGAATGTTGATGGACTTTGAGTCCCCCATGGAGTCAGGACATGCTCCTGGACACTACAACTTTTAAGGACACGGATCACAGGTGCTTGCACACCCCTTTGCTACTCACTGTGAAAGTGGATCCTTTTTTAATGATCTTTTCTAAGAAACAAGGCATTTTAATGGCGTTGGTGTCATCTTATTTTCCAAATCAGCTTAATACTGGACCAGAGCCCTTGGTAGGGAAGGGGCACTAGGATTGCTCTGTGTAATTGCCTTCCCTTTTCCCTCACCTTAGTGATGGGTTTGTCTGGAGACTGGTGGTTAAAGCAACAGCTGCAGTGCAGAGCTGGGGCAGAAATGTGGGCATCACACCTGTGTTGAAAGGAGTGTTTGGCAAAGTCTGTGCTCCCCTCGTTACCTGCATCTTTCTGTGGCAAAACTGAGCCTGAAATTTAAAAAGGATGTCCCTCCACCTGCTCTTCCTTCCTCCCTGTACACAGGGCTGTTTCACTTTGTGATGTCAACTGTCCCTGGTAACTGGTGAATTTGCAGTTGGGTTTTTTTGATGGACCCACAGGTATAAAGTGCAGGGAGAGGCTCTGGGGAGGGTGGGAGACCCAGCTCTGACTCAGGAGAGCCAAGTAGTAGTTTTTAAAGACTAATACAGATGCCCTCTAGGCACGTTGCCTAACAGCTGCTTTTGTTTTCCAAATGGGGATAAGTCTGTGGTTAAGATCATACATAGTGAGGATTATCAGTTCCTGGTGAAACTTTTGGATAATGCACAAAATAAAGACTGTTATTTATGACAGCTTAGTCTTTAGACACTGGGAACAAGCACTCTGGAGTTCAGAGTGTTCCTGGTTCCAGTGAACCTGAATGCAACAGCCTCATCAATTCCATTGGGACAAGGTGATATTTATGGATTGATACATTACTATCTGTTTATATTCTAAATAACCGAATGTTTTCCAAATATTCTGAGCACTCTTAGTTTTGACTGTCTTCACTTGGAAAGCTTTGTCCTCCTCTTGAGGAGACAGTGTAGAGCAACCATAAAAATGCATACATTCTGTTACTGTATTTTGTGAATAATATGTGCTTGGAGAGAGAAGCCCCACTACTGTGGCAGTGACACCAGTATAGCCGAACATTTCAGGAGGATTTAGATGCTTGGGCTTTTTTTACTATGAATATATTTTGCATTTCCACCAGGCTCACTGTGAAAATTTACTAATTCTACTTATCTCACCTTCCACTGTTACAAAAATGAAACCATACTTTTCAGTGGAAACGTATTTTGTTTAGTTGTTGTTTTGTTTGTGGTGGAGGTTTTTTCTTCTTCTTTTTTTTTTTTCTTGTTTCCTGCCCAGAATCTCTTTCTACTGTGGGTGTGTGAAATTTTGTGAGCCTGGGTCTAGCCAGACGGTGTAAAACCCTTCAGAACTGGGTGCTGGAGAAGTTGACAGGTTTAGTAATGTGACCAGTAAGTTAGCAACTGTAAAATATTTGCTGAGGTGCCAGTTTGCCATTTATATATATATTTTTAATATCTCTATATATATGTACTTTATTTTACAGAAGAAACCTTAGAAAATCACAATAGATCCACTACTTATTAGCCCTTTAGCTCTTCAGTTTAATCCAGGGCAATTGGCAGGCTTGGCCCTTAGGCTGAAATCTCTCAGCCCAGCTTGACATTCACACGGTGAGCAAGAATATTCAACATTTTAGTGGTACAATCTGTTTACAAGAAACACAGAAACACCTGCAAGTATTCTAGGGAAGAGACAAGCCCTTAAATTCCAAGGTGTAGAGTACCTGCTGTCTACTGCAAATAATAATCACGTGAGTGGATTTTCCCCGAGGGTAACTTTTACTATAAATAGGAGCTCTTGGCCATATTGTAGCATCTGGCACTGGAGGCTGCTGGTGACAGGAGAGCTCAGCCCAGGCTTGGGCTCCTACAGTTATTAGGAATATAAAATTTCAGGTAAGCAGTTTTCTAGAATTGTAGACTGAGAGTATTGCTGTTGTAAGAATCCATAAAGCTGTTCAGAATGGGCTCGGTAGGTTGAGCCCAAAGCTCAGTAAATTCCTGGGAGGTTTCAGGCTTTGTTGTTGAGGTGTGTGGGCAGCACTTCCAAGGGTAAATACAGCTGCAGGCACTGCAGCAGAGGTTCTGCAGGACACTGTGTCTGTTGGGGTCCTGGCTGGGCTCAGAGCACTCTTAACCTGAGGGAGAGGGATGGCCTTGTAGTACTGAATTAAGGACTTGTACATTTTGTAGGAGGGAAACTCAGTGGGTTTTTTTTTCCATCTTCTGTATAAAGTTCAAATACTTGTTCCCTTCTCTCTCTAGACATCCTTCCTGCCTCGCTGGAGGATAGAGGGATTATTAATCAGGAGTTCTTTTTACACTGCAGCTCAATAAAAGCTTCAGTGTCTCTTTTTTATTTTAATCTAGGGAGCTCTAAAGAGCCCTCTCACCCCCAGGGGCATTCCACTGCTGTTTGCAAACGGCTTTGCTCTTGTTAAAGCACCTGTTGTAGAGGTACAGCTGTGTGGGGATTGTTCAAGCTTGACAGAACCCCTTCCAGTTTCGAGTCTTACCAACAGTGTGGGGTATCTTTGGGCACATTCTTCCTTTAGGGCTTTGCTTTGGTTATCTGGGTATTTTTGAGACCAGTGCAGTTTTTTAAGTGGGGAGGTACCGGGATAAATGACTCTAAATGTTCTTTACTTATGGAGAAAGCCATTTTTGGTCATCCTGGAAATGTGCTTTCTTGGGGTCCTAGTGTAATACGTGCTGCTCCTGTACAGGGAGAATAGTTTGGAGGTTCCTGAGATAGGAAAGGCCTCAGGCTGACTGCAAAGTAGTATTTTGCAAAATCTGTCTAGGCAAGCATCCCCCATCAGCCCAGACTCTTTCTATTCCCCGTGGCAGTGACTTTAAATGGTATCCTGAGATTTGTTTCCTTTCACATCATTTTTGGCAGCAGGATTCATCCAGGGAATTGCAATAAACCCAGAGTTGGAATGGGTAGCCTGATGCAAAGATGCTTCAGGAGCCAGTTCCTCTGCAGAGCTATTGTTCTTGCACAGTGAAAACAGTACATGCTCTCTTAGAAAGGCATAATTGCTTTGTGAACCAGAGGCTGATTTCTTGAAACAAAGACACTCAAAACATTTAATAACA